GGGGTTTAGGGTTCCTTTAAAGGGATCTATACAAGGGCTCCTTTAAAGGGATCCTTAAGGGTTCTATAAGGGTATGTAGAATTCCCTCTCTACACGCAGCTCTGTAGGAGGTTGAGTTCCAGTTCTCTTTAAATCCATGATAATGATGAATTCACAAAGCCCTGAGGCTTAAGGATGGGACTGAGTCCCGTGAGCATGAGCAGTGACAGCATGCACAGCTAGCCCGAAGGGCAGTGACAATAAGACTGAGTCTTATGTTTGCGTGTTGAAAAGGCCGTCGTAGCACTGTGTGAGCCCATGGTGGTTTGAACCTGGCAGTTCATCGAGAACCTGCCGCACACAAGATTAGCCCATGGCATCAGTATCGAACGACGAGAACCCCAATTCGAATGACATCGTTCAACCAGAACAACAGGTTATGAGTAGCCCAAACGTTGTCACTACGGAGTCCGCTTCGGGAGTTTCTTCAAGTCGTGAGCCTGGAGGCGTGAGTAGTACGCCTGGCACACTGGATATGGATGGAGAAACATTGGCTGCTGAGCAGCAACCGGTGAGGTTGGGTCAGCGTGGAATAGCGCTGGATGCCGCCGACCAGACTCTGGTAAATGGAACCGGAGTCAGGGCGTCGGGGCAGCAACAGGATTCCAGGATCCCAGGCCCGGCAATTGATGATCTGACAGCTAGCGGCTCGAGCAGAGCGGGCCAGCCTCCATTGTCGGGTCAAACTGGTTTGCTTGGTGGCTTACAGAGAGTGGTGCAGGCAGTTGAGAGCGTTGTTCAGGGTGGTCCTCGTATGACGGTTTCTCCCAACCACCACGATGCGGTGGAATACGCGTCAGTGAAATCCTCGATCAGCGCCGAGGTAAATCCACCTTCGGCGAGCACACTGCCGGAGACGCCATTGTTTACTGAGGCTTCGATGCTGCGGATGAGGCAGATGGAAGCAAACGCTCCGTTGTTGTATGCGAGAAGGGAGTTTGCGACAACGGGACCTTCCTCAACGTCTTCGGGTGACATTCAGGCCGAAGTGCGCAGGCAATTGGCAGAGCTTATGTCTGAGCGAGACGAAGAGGGGAGGAGATTGAGGGCACAAGTTGAGGCGTTGGCTTATGAGAATAGTGAGCTTAGGAGTCGCATGTATGATGATGTACAGAGTAGACAAGGGTTTCCAAAGGAGAGTTCGGTATCCCAGGCCTTACCAAGGTTTGGGTGGTTGAGAGGATTGGGGAGTTTAATCGGTTCAGGTCCCTCTTTCAGGTCCATGGACTTAAGACCAGATGGTGTATCCGGGAATGGCTTGGACTTGGCCTATCCACCCTCGAACCCTACCAATCTTCGAACTTCCTCACAGTTAGCCCTTGCTACTACTCATTCTGATTCCCAGCACCCTAATGTTCCACTGCCTACAGGTTCTCAGGTGTCGCAGCTAGGTCACCAGGTGCAGCAACCAGGTCACCAGGTGCAGCAACCAGGTCTCCAGGTGCAGCATCCAGGTCATCAGGTGCCGCAGCCAGGTCACCAGGTACCGCATCTAGGTCATCAGGTACCGCGACCAGGTCATCAGGTGCCGCAGCCAGGTCATCAGGTACCGCGACCAGGTCATCAGGTGCCGCAGCCAGGTCACCAGGTGCCGCATCCAGGTCATCAGGTGCCGCAGCCAGGTCATCAGGTGCCGCAGCCAGGTCATCAGGTGCAGTCGCCAGGTCATCAGGTGCAGCAGCCAGGTTCCCAGGTGCCACAGCCAGGCTCCCAGGTACCACAGGCAGGACATCAGGGGCCACAGGCAGGCCAGCAGGTACCGCAATCTAGTCTAGGTACAAGTGTACCAGTTGAGGACCTTGGGGTAGCCCTTGATCCGTTGAGTGTGGTTTTGACGGGAATGGCCCAACTCCAGGGGTTGATGACTGATATCGCGACCTCGCCCAAGGCTTCTCAGCGGGCTGAGGTGATAAAGCCTGGGGTTAGTTCCTTACCTGACCTCCCACCTCTCGGAGGAGATGCATGCTTGGCATTTTCTGATTGGTTACATAACGCTAGGCCAGCGCTGGGAGATGTGAGTGATAACTCTGAGGAACTTTGGAATATGGTTGTGGTTGAAGCCACGGCTTGGTACAACGCCTACCTAAGACTAGACCCGTTGGGAAGGCTTACCTCTAAACCGGAGGCATCCGCTGAACTTGGTCAAGCAAGGTGGCAGCGATTGTCTAGGCGTATAGAGACGATGATTTTGCAGGCTACACCCGCCTCAGTGAAGGAGGAGATAAGCTCTGCTAGGGTATCGGGACTCCTGCCTCTTATGTGCAAGTTGTTTGTGGTCTATGGTCCGGGATCCCTCAATGAGAGGGAGATCGGGCTTCGAAACATTCAGGATCCTCCCGCGGGGACGAACATTCAGGACACTATAGAACACCTTAGAAAGTGGAGGCGTTGGTGCGCGAGGATGACCGAGTTAGGCGGTGTATTACCAGACTGTGCCCTACAAGTCAAGGCGATTACAAAGATATCTAAGGCAGCCCTCCTCCAGAATCCCGAGGTAAGCTTCAGGGTGAGCTTGAGTAGGGCATCCTTGCAAGTGGACCTCAACCCGGATAATGAGAAGGTTCTAAAATTACATGCCCAAATTCTCAGTGAGCTAGAGGCAATCCATCATAGGGTACCGAAGGATAAGGAGGCAGACAGGGACAAGAGTAAAGACGGGGCTGCCCAGGCTAAGATTAAAGGAGTCGAAGCAGCAACGCCTACTCCCCCCCCAGCACCTAAAACTCCTAAGGCACCTAAGGCCCCGCCTAAGAGTCCTTCCCCGCCGAAGCAAGTGAGCTCTGAGGCGTCTACTCAGCGAGGGCCGCGCACCTTTTATTCGCAAAATAATGGGTGTAAGAAAGGGGCGGACTGTGCGTTTGAGCACAACTGGGCCGGGTTCACCCCGGCAGAAAAGGCGTTGAGGTGCAAATTGTGTGGAAGCAAGAACCACAGAGCAGCGACATGCACGGCCGGGTTGCGTGGGGATCAAGAGAAGGGTGCCGGAAAGGGGAATCCAAAGGCGCAGGCTGTTCCGAAGGTTGCAAGCGAAACCCCTCCTCCCCCTCCAAAACCAGCATCCCAGCAGCATATAAAGGCCATGTTGGCCGATGCAGCAAGGATCTTGCAGCAGGCCATGCCTGAAGGCCAGGCGAATGTGAGCGCTAGCCAGCCGCCAGTGCAGGCGTTTCCCATGAGTGGACCCACCGTACCTCCGTCGAGCATGAATAGCAATCAGCCTACCGCCCAAGGTACTCCTGTTACTCTCGCATCGCTCAGTGCCCAGCTTGAGACACTAAGGGGTTTAACCCGGGAGCCAGAGGTGAGGGGCGTAAAGGTTAATTGCCCGGAGTCCAGTGTTGAGGGTCTCGAGATTTCTGAGGTTAGTCTTGAGAACATAGCCAGTCAGGTTAAGGACCTGTGGAAGCTTGTTGAAAATGGAGAAGGAAGGGTTAGGGCCTTTCAGGAAAGGGCCTCAGGTGAAGGGGGACTTGCAAGAGCCTTAGCATTGCTTGATAGTGGGGCGACCCACGCGGTCGTGCCCTACAGTGATTCGTTGGGGCGATTGGACTCGGTCCGGGTCACCTTGGCAGGGGGCGCAAAGCAGAATTGGTGGAGAACCAAGGGTGGCACTTTGGTGGTACCTCCGGCCGGGGGAACTAGTGGAGGGGAGGGTAAACCGCAAACTATTCTTCCCCTGGGTTCCCTAGTCGAATCCCTAGGCTGCTCAATTAGCTGGTCTCGTCGTAAGGGCTTGCGGGTTGTGCATCCTACCCTTGGGGTTTTGAAAACTGATGTTTCCGAAACCAACTGTCCCCTCGTTCAAGAGGGACAGGCCATGCAGATTATAGCCGAACTTGAGGCCAAGAGGTTGGAGAATTTCCGTGAAAAGGTACAGGATTTGGAGTGTCAAATAGAGTCCTTCGAGGTGCCTCTTGATCCAACTGAGGCGTTGCGAAGGTTTGCAGCTTCTGGGGATAGGCGTGAGGCCCTCCAGGCTGTCGTTGCCCAGCCCTACCTTGCAGGTTTGTCAGACCGGGATATAACCGCCTTAGCCGAAGGGTTTGATGATTATGCACAGTCCGAAGGTAAGCAGCTTCTGAAGATCCTACCGTTGAAAAGGGCAGACCGACGAAGACTGCTTCAAACTGAGAAATGGTGGGTGCACTTGTGTTCCGGACCCGACAGACCGGATGATCCTCTGAGGCATTGGTGCAATTCCAAGGGTATAGCTCTGTTGTGTGTTGATATAAGGCAAAAGGGAGGCAAGGGTTGGGATCTTACTAAGAGGAATGGAGTGTGGAAGGTCCTTCTTTGGGCAGCCTCTATAGGTAAGGTCGCAGGTGTATTCGCATCTCCACCCTCGTGTGTCAAGGAAGAGAAAGGCGTATTGAGACTCCAGGACATGTTTCTCTGGTCCTTGGCGTCGGTTTCTGCTGGGCGTGGGATTCCCTATGTGTCAGGACATATCAATGCCCAGAGTGAAAGCAGGTTGAGGTTTGCAAGCTGGTCCGGAATGGCTACGTTGCAAATATCCCAAGGAGTGCTTGGTGGAGAGTTCGAGCATAAAACCACCATTATGACTAACTTGGACCTAGCCCACCTGTGCGCCCTTCCAACCAAAGGAAGGGAGGGCCTTCCACCTGAGGGTCGACACTGGACTAGGGGATTCCGGCTTGGAATAGTTGGAGCGTTGTCTGGTAGACCGATAGGAGTTACTTGCGATGGTTTAGATGAGGTAATAAAGGGGGGGCACTGCAGAGGCAAGCGTTGGAGATTCTGTCAACCAGGAGGAAGAAGAATGTACGGTGAAGGAACTTACACAGACTGAGCTTGAGAGTTGGAAAGAGCACGTTATTAGAGGACACCTACCCTATAGAAGGGATTGCCGTAGGTGTGTAGAAGGATCGGGTTTGGGTATCCAACACTGGAGTATCAAGTACAAGGCCATGTTCACTTTGAGTATTGACTTATTTGGACCTATGGGCAGCCGTGAAAAGGGAAGGGACGAGGAATCCGTATCCGCGAATCCGCATATCAGGTATGGCTTGGTTGGAGCGTTCCGGGTTCCTAAGTCAGCCCTTGAAGGAGCTAAGAGTGAGGAGGAGATTCCGAAGGACGAGTCTCTAACTGGGGCAAATGCACTTCCTGATGATGTGGATTTGGAAGAGTATGTGCCCTCTGATGAGGAGGAGGCTGATGGAATCTTCCAGGCTAATTCTGAATCTCGCCTGGAGCCTGAAGGTGCAGAGGTTGGTGAACTTGAGTCAGGTATTTGTGCAGTCGAACCCGGCCATGAGTCTGCTTCCGAGGAGTGCCTCTTGTGGTCAGGTGAAAAGCTTCCTGAGGACCCAAAGGAGCAGGAGGAGTACCTAGAGGGGTTGTCTTCGCCCGTTGATCATGTGGTTTTACGATACTTTGTAGGCTTGAAGTCCAAGAGTGGGGCCGATGTGACTGCAGCCATCCAGCAAATGGTGATAGAAATAAATAAGAGCTTTCCGGTAAGGGTTTTACATTCCGATCCCGGAACGGAGTTTTCTTCTGATAAGTTGAAGAAGTGGCTTGCAGATCAGGCAATCCGGCAGCAACACCCCTTAGCGACCGATAAGCAGGGTAACGGGTTAGCTGAGAGGACTATAGGGTGGGTTAAGGCTAGGGCCCGTACTCTGGTGGGATCGTCGGGGGTCAATGTGAGCCTTTGGCCTATGGCAATGAGATGGGCCGTCGAATCCCACAACCGCCAAATCCTTCACCAGCAGCCACTTCCCTATTTTGGTCAGGACGTTCTACACAAACTGAAAAGGCCTCCTGGGGGAACCAATGAGTTAATGCAAAAATGGGTGAAGGCAAGGTATTTAGCTCCGCACCTAACTGTTCCGAAGGGGCACGTGCTTCTCACTGAAGAGGGCAACTTGGTGGGTTCGAAGGGATTTAGAACCAACACAGTCGATCCAGAGGGGTTGCCTGGGCTTGTTATGCCGACACTTCAGGAGGAGGAGGAGTTGGTGTCTTTACCATTGGCTGATGATCTAGTAGAGGAAGCTGAGGCTCCCTCTGTGCCGGACAGACGATTGAGGAAAAAGTCATCGGTTCAATTTGTTGAGGCAGATCAAGGAGACCAGCTTCGACCAGAGCAACTTGCCAGAAAACTCATGTTGGAGGGTGATTACTCCAATGAGGCATTCAAGGCACTTGTGAGCGCTCTGAGAGAGCAGGAGAATCCATCCACTGACAGAAGAGGAAGCTTTGAAGGGAGATTTATCTTTGGAGCTTATAGTCATGGGGGAAACCGGGGAATCGTTGGAATGAGTAAAAGGTTTCCCGAAACCAATAAGTTCCTTAATCGGTTGCTGAGACGTAGGGCGTCTGCCGAAGAGTTTACACCTTCTCCTTCGTGGTCAGCAATTATGATCCTCCAAGCGACCGAAATTGATGTTCACAAGGATGTGAGGAATGAATGGAATACGAAGAATTATGTGTTGTGTATTCCAGGCACATTTGAGTTACAGGTGCATCCTGAGCAGAGAAAGCATGGAACTAAGGGTGGATCATTTGAGCCTATAGGCTATCCCCTTGTGAACAAGATAGTGGAGTTTGATGCAAGAAACCCGCACTCAGTGAAGAAACATCCGGATTGGTTCTTAGTTGGGTATACCCCTCTAGGAACTGCCAAACTTGATCCACAGTGTCATAGAATACTTCAGAGCTTGGACTTCAGATATGTGAGTCTGGAGTCGGCGGACCCTTCAGTGTGCATGGTTGGGATTGATGACAGACCAGAACCCTCCGAAGAAGAGGAGGATGGATCTGGGAACGCTGATGACCATGACCTTGATCAAGACTTGCAGCTTGATTCGTACACGCCAATTATAGGATGGGACTTTTCTGGTGGAAATCCGGGAGAAGTTCCATTGGTTCATTTAGAGGAAGTGGACTTGCACCAGTTCCTTCTTGAGAGAGGAATACCTTGGGTGTACAAGCGCCTTAAGGAAATGGGTGTCGATGAAGCAATTGATCTCCAGTTCCTTTATGAGGAGGACCTTATCGAATATGGAATTCCGGTTGAGGTGGCAAGGCGAGTTATGGAGCGCGTGCATCCACCGAACACTAGAAGGCCAGACAACCCGGAGTTGTGTGCTTTGAGGACCGGTGAAGTGCAGATCCTTGACCGTGAACAACGCCCGATACCTTGGGCAATTCAGAACAGAACTCTTTTTGATGATGGTCAGGAGTTGCCCCTGGCGGATCTTGGAGTTGGAGTGCAGGTGCCCTCAGTTGGACAGGGCGGGATGAGTTGGATTGATCTTGAGGAGGAGAGATTGTTTGGGAACATAGGTTTCCGAGGTCAGGCCAGCTCGTCAGGTGATGCCGCACAGCTAGGTTTCCAAGGTCAGGCCAGCTCGTCAGGTGATGCCACACAGCTAGGTTTCCGAGGTCAGGCCAGCTCGTCAGGTGATGCCGCACAGCTAGGTTTCCAAGGTCGGGCCAGCTCGCCAGGCGATGCCGCGCAGGTAGGTTCTCAAGGTCAGGTTAGTCTGTCTGGAGAAGGGGCACAACGGGGCTCCCAGTTTTCAGCAACAGTTCCTAAGAGGTGTCAAGGCCGAGGGCATTTAGATGTCGAGGAGGAGTATGCATTGTATGCGCAGTATATGCAGTCACTTTGGGACGATGCAGAAGGGAACCCTGATGAAGAGTCTAACTCCGATGGGGATTTGGGCACCGAGCACTTTGCTTGTAAGATGATAAGTTGCCCCGAGGGGGAATCTCAGCGTGAAGAACAGGGGGTAACCGTTAAAAATAGTGGGGTTTCCCATCAGGTTGAGTTAGGGCCGAGAATAGGGGTACCCATCTCCGAACCTCTTGCCGTCTTGGGAGGGAAATCCGATGTTGACAATCCAGCTGTTAAGCAGGTTGATGAGTCCTTTTACACTGAAAATGTTGAGGAGTTACTTTCAGCTTTGACAGGACCCCTCAAGGTCGTTCATAATGTCTCTCCTTCTGAGGTAAGGCGGCACTTAATGAAGTGGAAAGGATCCGCTGAAGTTGAAGTTGCAGCATTGGAAGGGATGTCAGCAATAAGGCGACTGAAGGGGAATGACGCCAGGGCAGCCCAGAATCAGCCCGGGGTTCAGATCATACCAGCCAAACCCGTGTTCACCGTCAAGCCGGGTAGCGAAGCAGCCTGGTTTAGGCGTAAATGTAGAGTGGTTGGATGTGGTAATTATGAGACTCGAGATCCGTCGGCAGAACTCTATGCAGGAGGAGTTCCGGCGGACGTTCTCCGCTTATGCCTTATTCAGGCATCGGTCATGAGAATTCGAGCTTGGATAATTGACATCAAGAATGCTTTCCTTCTAGCGTCGTTGCCGGAGTCAATGAAGGGAAAAATCCTTTTACGGCCGCCGAAGCTCCTGGAAAGCATGGGCATAACCCAACCTGACGAAGTTTGGGTTATCCAAAAGGCGGTATACGGACTCAGACAGTCCCCTAAATGGTGGAGTGATTACCGTGACGAGATGCTAAGAAGCGCCGATTGGTTGGGACCGAGAGGAAAGATGAAGCTTAGGCAATCCTCTGTCGAAGCCAACTTGTGGCATCTGCTAGACGGCTCCGACACTCTCCTTGGCTATGCAATCGTCTATGTCGACGATATTATGGTCTTAGCGAGCCAGGATGATGCAGAAGCCTTCTACAAGTGGATACGATCGGTCTGGCAGTGCACCCCTTTGGAGGGAGCTGAGAGGGGCAAACCCATCACCTTTTTGGGGGTAGAGGTGCAAGAAGACGAGGACGAGTTCGGCACCCTGGGGTTTGCATTAAGTCAGTGCGGTTATATTGAAGAGTTGATTAGATCATATGGCATGAGCCCGGTTCCTAGGTCCGTGCCCTATCCCAAGGAGTGGATTAAGGAGTTTCCACCTCAGGAAGATTATGGGCCAGACGTATTGCGGAAGGCCCAGAGGGTCACAGGAGAGGTACTCTGGGTGGCGCAACGGTCGCGCCCAGATATAGCATTTCCAGTTGCCCTGATGGGTTCTTGGTGCACGCGTGCGCCTACCTTAGTCACGAAATTAGGGATGCGTTTGCTGGAGTATTTGTGGAGTACAAAGGATGATAAGCTTTCGTTGATCCCAAGTGAGACAACCAGGCGTCTGACGATATACTCAGATGCCTCGTTTTCACCCTACGGAAGCGCATCGGTAACCGGTGTCTTAATAATGTTCCTTGGAAAGGTAATTTTATGGAAGGGAAAAAAGCAAAGCATTATATCTCTTTCCACAGCCGAAGCAGAGTTAATAGCAGCCTGTGAGGCCGTCGTGCTAGGTCAAAGTATGCAAGCGCTTGTAAGTACCCTTGGTGAAGGTGTGGGGCCAATGCTTCTACTAGTCGACAATGTCGCCGCTATAGTTTTAGCCGAAGGTGGCGGAAGTCAGAGAACGAGGCACTTACGGGTGCGTGCAAGTTTCATTAAGGACCTTCAGGATCGTCAGGATCTAGAAGTGCATCACTGTCCAGGGGACATTCAACTAGCAGATGGGCTAACTAAGATACTTCCTGCATCTAGGCACCAGATTTTGAGGGAGATGATAGGGTTAACACCGAATGTAGGTCGGCCTTTCGTGAGGACAATCCAGGGTGATGGATATGCCGCTTTAGGGCCTACAGGTCAGGACATTCAGTTGTGGATGTTGCTGATGTTGATTGTGATGCAACTTCCAGAGGTTGAAGCTGCCGATGATGAGGATAATGCGGCTGAGCCGCTGAGCCTGGAGTTGTCGGCACTGGCATTAATGATGATGATGTCAGCTTTGTTCATCTGGGAGTCTGCCAAGTATTGCCTTCAAAGGTGCTGTAGGAATGATTGTCCGGAGGTTAGAATGGTTCGGATAGATGACGATGATGAAAACGTGCAAAGGTCTAGGCGACAGCGCAGGCAAGATGCTGTAAGGCGTGCAATTGCTCAGGAAACGAGTACTCCTGAGCTTAGGCGACGTCGGGAGTGTGATGTTCCTACCTCACCTTCCCAACATCCACCTTTGATTCAGGTGCATGTGAATACCAGTGAGGGACCTCCGAATGTCCCACCACCCTTGCCGAGGTTTCAAGGTAGTATGAGAGCAAGGGGGTCCTCCGATCCAGAACCGGTTTTTGAGGGGCAACAACACCGATACTTGCCTGAAGGAGGAGACCACCAATCCACCTCGTCTGACCGACCTTCCTCCTCCTTGACCCATTTTGAGGGGGTTGCCCGTGCACCATCCACCGTCCCTGGGTTTGGAGTTTCAAAGGAAGCTGGGGTACCAAAGACTCGTGAAGTGTCTGTACAGACTGATTTTCCACGTGGACTAACATTTGAAGAACTGCAGGCTCTTCAGGTAACCACAACGAATAGCAGGTCGCCTGGGGCAGTGCACTTGTTTCCCGAATGCCACTCATTACGCGGGGTTACGAGCACCAGTAGGAGGTCCTTTTGTAAGTACTGCTTGAACTCAGCTGCGCGTTCGGGAATCTAGGTAGGTGGGAAAACCTTGAAAGTCAAGGATTCCCAAGGAGGAGTGTAGAATTCCCTCTCTACACGCAGC